GACACATATTGCATATCAGTATTTATTTTATTTGTTTTGTATTATTTATCGTTTGTCTCAATTGTCTCCTAATCTAATTGATAGCCATTAATGAGAGACAGGAATATAGGAAACAAATGATATGAATGCAACTAAATCTCCGATCCATTCATTAGTGACTAAAAATAACAATACATTTTTGAATCACAAATTATCAATTAGTACAACACAAAAGTCAACACAATCTCAAAAGTTTCTCCAATTATTAACATTTCAATGGCTTTGGAGTAAAAAACAAAATATTTGCACAAAAGGAGTATTGATTCAAATACTGTTGAATGAGTTTCTGTATTATAAATCGTGTATTTATTATAGCCCTAAATGAGTACTTTCTTCGGGCGATATTTTACGCCCGAAAACACATATATCTTATTAGCGGTTCTGCGACAGAGATATTGTCACCATTTGCTCGCAGATAATTGTTCACATAATCCCATAATATATTATTATATAAATAGATTTAATAATAAGAGTCTCTTATTTATTGTCACTTTTCATACACAGAATATTCTTACGCTTCCCTATTGAGTAGGAATTCATTAATTTATTTTCTTAATTCCACTCCGATATTGATTTCTCCACAGTTTAGTATGAATTCGTGTTTCTTAGGGATTAGTGGGACACAAGTGTTGACACTTCGGGTGAATCTGAACTTTTGTACCAAACATACGACGGCTGTCTTGGCCTCCATCAGACCGAACCTCATTCCCACACAATTTCGGGGTCCGATTCCGAACGGCATGTATGAGTGCGGCGCTAATTGGTCGCGATTTTCGGGTAAAAACCTTTCGGGATCCCAGCGGTCGGGGTTCGGGTAATAGTCGGGGTTTCGGTGTATACTTTGCACGTCGAGATTGACCATCATTCCCTTGGGGATTGTGATCCCGGTGTCGCCTATACAATGATTATAAAAACAAATTTAATATACAACAAATCGTGGTAAAAATGTGTATACGAAGACCTAGTTTATAATCTTCGTTTGCCATCCGGAATAACACGACTAACGGGTTGTAAAGTCTGAGTGTTTCTGCGACACAGGCCTCCAAATACGGCATTTTCGATATACTCTCGTAATCGTACTTTCCGTCGAAAGACATGACTTCTTCGTACAGTTTTTGCTGACATTTATCATTCAATGCCAACGAATAGGACAGATATGAGAGAAGTGATGCCGTCGTCTCATAACCGGCCACAAGGAATAGGACTGTATTGGCGAGTATGTCATCCTCTGTCAGCTCTCCCTTTAGTTTTGTTGAATTCATTGGTTTTTCGTCTCTCTGTCCGTAAATGCGTTCCGTATCGTCCGGTTCTTCAGCCGAGTTGCCGGTGATGTGTGAGTTGTTGTCCGCCGTCTTATTCAACGCATTTACCATCAGTTGTAAGTAATCGTTGTGTTTACTCCTATTAGCCATCGATTTGCGGTTTGCTATCATAGATGTGAGCTATTTATGTGAAAAATAGTGTTTAAAACTTTTGTGTTTTAAATACAAAACACAATGAGTTTTGCACAAACCGCTGAGCGAAAGAAGTTTTCCACTTTGGGATCAGTTGACTTGAATTGTGTCCACTCGAGTACTTTCGGGAATGTCTTCATCAACAGGAAGAAGAGAAATACTCGCCAATTATGGCGAAACACTTTCTCCGCGCAGACAATGAATTCACTTTTTT